ATACTTCAGTGAATTTTTTTAAAAAGTTGAAAAAAATCTTAAATGGCAATACAGAGATTTGAACTCAAGCAGCCCAGAAACAAGTGCTTACGTTCTTGCTGATATCACTAGGCCACTTCTTGTCCAGTCTGAAGGATTAGGTCATGCGTCAATTTAACTTTCTGATACATGATGTTGTGACTTTAAAAACCCTGCATGACTGACAGATAAATGAAGAGATTTGCCTGATGTCCCAGATGAGAGGTCAATCTCGCACAGAAAGCACATGCCCTCAATATTACACACAGATAATGCAATGTCAGTCAAAATTTCAGTGAGAGTTTTTGGGAGGAAGGCAAAGTGTTTAGAAAATCGATTTGAGGGCGTCTGGGTGGCTCAGTCAGCTAAGACTCTGACTTCGGCTCAGGTCATGATTTCATAGTTTGTGAGTTCGAGCCCCACGTCAGGCTCTGTGCTGACAGCTCAGAGCTGGAGCCTGCTTCAGATTCTGTATCTCTCTCTCTCTCTCTCTCTCTCTCTCTCTCTGCCCCTCCCCAGCTTGCTCTCTGTCTCTTTCTCAAAAAATAAATAAAAAACAATAAAAAATTTAATAAAAAGAAAATCAATTTGAAATTTTACCTGAAAGAACGGGAAGAATAGCTAAAAGGTTTTGAAAAACCAAATCAGAGGGTATCTTGCCTACCATACTGCAACATCTTTCAAAACCCTGTAATTAAGAGAATCTGGTACTAGTGAAAAAATAGACAACATTTTGAGTCCTAAAACAGAAGCATGTATATAAGGAAATTTATCATATAATGTTAATGATGTATTCGAATTAGCTGCAAAGGGATAGAGTATTTAATAAGCGGTGTTGAAGTAACAAACACTCATTTATAAAAAAAAAATAGTCAACATCACTGGTCATCATGGAAATACAAATTAAAAGTACAATGAGGTATCATCTCACTCCTGTAAAATAGCTAAAATAAACAACACAAGAAACAAGTATTGGTGAGGATGTGGAGAAAGGGGAACCTTCTCGCGCTGTTGGTGGAAATGCAAACTGGTACGGCCATTCGGGAAAACAGTATGGAGCTTCCTAAAAGAGTTAAAAATAGAACTACCCTAGGATCCAGCAATCACACTAGTAGGTATTTACCCAAAGAATACAAAAATACTAATTCAAGGGGATACCTGCACTCCTATGTTTATAAAATAGCAGTATTATCTACAATAGCCAAATTATGGAAACAGCCCAAGTACCCATCCACTGATGAACAGATAAAGAAGAGTAGGGGATGTGTGTGTATGTATGTATGTATAGGTATGTATACATAATGGAGTGTTACTCAGGCATAAAAAAGAATGAAATCTTGCCATTAGCAACAGCATAGATGGAGCTAGAGAGTATTATACTAAGCAAATTGAGTCAGTCAGAGAAAGACAAATACCATATGATTTCACTCATATATGGAATTTAAGAAACAAAACAAAGGAGCAAAGGGGAAGAAAAAAGAGAGAAAGAGAGGGAGAGGCAAATCAAGAAAGAGACTCTTGGAGCCTCCTGAGGGACAGCTGGTTAAGTGTCCAACTCTTGGTTTCAGCTTAGGTAGGGATCTCAGGGTTAGGAGATCAAGCCCCCACTCAGGCTCTGTGCTGAATGTGGCGTCTGCCTGAGATTCTCTCTCTCTCCCTTTGTCTCTGCCCCTCCCCTGCTCATGTTCCTTCTCTCTAAAAAAACAAACGACAAAAAGAAATGGATTATTATAGAGAACAAACAAAGGGGATGGGTAGAGGGATGGGTTAAATAAGGGATGGGGATTAAAGAGGGCACTTGCTGTAATGAGCCGGGCATTGTATGGAAGTGTTGAATCGCTAAATTGTAGAGCTTAAACTAATACTAAACTGTATGTTAACGAACTGGAATTTAAATAAATACTTCAAAAAATAAAAAATAAACAAACTTAGGTCTCATCTTTCATTACACGTGCAAATAAATTCCAACCAAGTTAAAGATTTAAACAAAAACAAAACTATAAAAGAAAATATTAAGGATCATTTGTATAATCTTAAAAGGGTTTCTTTAAAGACAGCCGGAAACCCAGAAGCCATGAAAAGAATGAAAGATATGACTAGAGACAAATTAAAAACTTGTGCAGAGCAAACACTTCTATTTAAAAAGAAAATAATAAAAGCAAAGAGAATACATGAGAATATTTGAGAATATTTGCAGAGTATTTGCTAATCCTACAAGGAACAAAAGATTAACATACTTAATATGTGAGATCTTATAAATGAAATATCACTCTAATGCATTTTTGGTAATAAGCAAATTAAAGCATAAACATCCTTTTATTTTATAATTTCACTTTTAAACTGTATCTAGTAGAATGTCTAATATGTATATGAACAAAATTTCACTTAGATCTCCAAAGATTTTCATTTCAGTGGTCTGTATAATAGAGAAAAAAAAGTGAAAAAAAAATCCAAAAAACTGAAATGTACATTAGCAAGGAATAATTAAACTATGATAAACTGATGCAAGAGTATTCTACTCAGCTATTAAAATGAATAAAAGAGATCTATGAGTACTGACATACAAGGTGCCATATCTCATTTTATATATTATGATCTCATTTTTATTAAAAAAAAAAATATTACAGGGGCACCTGAGTGGCTCAGTCAGTTAAGTATCCAACTCTGGATTTCGGCTCAGGTCATGATCTCAGGGTTTGTGAGTTCAAGCCCTGATGGCGCAGAGTCTCCCTCTGCCCCTACCCCCTGTCTCAAAATAAATAAACTTACAAAAATACATTATACTAGAAAGCCCTTAACTGACTCAATCAGGACCGCCGATTGATTAATATAAAGAGGTTGAAGCAGGGAAAGATCCTTAAGTATTTCATTTTAATTCATTCTCTAGTTTTTGATATAGAACTAAGAACTTTAATTATAGGTTCACCTGTCCTTTCTGATGAAACCATACTCCCAAAATACTGTTTAAGGTTTCTGGTTTCAGTTTCCTTAAAGTGGAATGAAGACTGGGGTGCCTGGGTGGCTCAGTCAGTTAAGCGTCTGAGTTGGGCTCAGGTCACGACCTCACAGTTTGCGGGTTCGAGCCCCGTGTAGAGCTCCGTGCTGACAGCTCCGAGCCTAGAGCCGGTTTCAGATTCTCCCCCCCTCGCTCATGCTCTGTCTCTGTCTCTCTCAAAAATGAGTAATATTAAAAAACTAAAAAATAAATTTGAGCAAAGACTTAAAAATATTTGCAAAACGATCTAGGTGCACATTCTATCTAGCATTATATTTTCCCCCAATTTTTTTATTATTGCCTTGCCCAGTCCTAACTGACTGCAGTTTCTAAGGCATCTAGCTCTTAGCAAATCTTTTCAAGACACTAGACTTAGTTTAAATAGGAACTATATTTTCCTTTCACACTCACATTTTGGTTTACATATTTCATTAAAATTGCAAATTACTATAATGAGTACAACTAGAATAAAAGGTTTGGAAACAAGATTAACTCTTTACAAACAGAAAACTCAAGATTCTCTAACTATAAGTTAATACTCAGGTTTATTAACCAATCTCTTATGGACATTTTTTTACATGAGTCAATTTAACCAAGTATCATTAAATGCACTGATATAATCAGGCCGCTAGGCCTGTGCCATCCAGCGTGGTAGTAACCAGCCACATGTGGCTACAGGGCACTCACACAGTGGCTAGAATGAATTGAGATGTGCTGTAAATGTAAAATACATGCCAGATGTCAAGGACTTTGAACTGAAAAGAGCATGCAAAATACTGTGACAATGATGTTTTTATATTAACCATAAATTGAAACGAGTATTTTAGATATACTGGGTTAAATAAAATAATTATTAAAATTAATTTCACTTGTTTCAAAAATTTTTAAATGTGGCTAATAGCAAATTTTTCATTACAAGTGTTGCTCTCACTGTATTTCTGTTGGGTGGCACACTGTTCCTCGAGATCTACAAACATGCTTTATTCAAAGGTGATGTCATCTGTGAAGTTCTACTTGAAACAATGAATCAGACTCTCTTTTTTATTATCTCTATTACTTGAATCTAAGACACTGGTAGTAACATTTTATAAAAAAATTTTTCTAAGCAGACTTATGACTCTGTATCAGGGGTCGATAAACTATGGCCCATGAGCCCAACTTGGCCTCCTGCCTACTTTAGTAGAGCCTGCAAACTAAAAACAGTTTTTGTGTTTTTAAATGGTTGGGAGTGGGAATCAAAAGAAGATTAATATTTTGGGATGTGTAAAAATTATATGAAATTCAAATTTCAGATCTATAAATAAAGTTTTATGAGCCCGTCACCATGCTCAGCTTCTACATTTCCTACAGCTGCTTCATGCTTTACAAGGGCAGAGTGGAGTAGTCACAACAGAAACGGTACCACCTACAAGGTCTACAACATTTACTAGCTGGCCTTTTCCAAGAGACGTTGTCTGACCCCCTGCTCTTTACCATCCCTATGGCTCGTGGACATAGTTACAGTTGCCAATGGCACCTACAGGATGTGGTGAAATAATGAGGAGAGAGAACTGTGTTTCCATTTTAATCTCAACTGGAGACTAGATTTCCAGCTTCTTAACCTGCTTCTGCCATTAATGCTCTTGACTCCAAAAAGTGCTTAGAACCCCAGCTTCTGGGACAGATTTTGTTTGTTTCTTTTTGCCTCTGATAAGTGTTCCTTTTATTTCAAAATATAATAGCGTTCCCCACCCCTCCCGGGACAGGTTTATAAAGATGGCATCACACAAAAAAACACTCAACAACCTGCAACATCAAAAGATCAACGCACAACTTTACTTTGACATTCGCGAGCATTCTAGCTATGATACCAATGCTGCCCCTTTGAGGGCTTGGGTACTCGCTGCTCTTTTGGTGTCCAGCCTGTAGATAACATACCCAGTTTTCTTTCAAACCCTCTACTCCTTTGCAGGACTGTTCCTTGACCCATGGTTTCTCAGGTACCTACCTCAGTTGACCCTGTGAATGCAATCTTGTCTATGCCAATGTGAGAAGCTATTGCCGCCCCAGCCGTTGGCCCGTATCCTGGCAAAATATTGATGACTCCCGGCGGAAAGCCAGCCTAACAAAACAGAATTGGAGGAAACGTGGCTTGTGAAAGCTGATGAAGCACATTAAATCGGCTATGCTCCAGTAGGCCCCAACTACAAGGGGAGTGGGAGCTACTCCCAAGGTTGGTTTCTCTTACCTCCTTGATGAGGGCTCCCATGTAGAGCGCACTGAGTGGTGTTTGTTCTGCTGGTTTAATAACTACTGTATTGCCACAGCAAAGAGCTGGAGCAATTTTCCAAGCAAACATCAGCAGGGGGAAGTTCCACTGAAAGGAAGAAACTCAAGGTTGATAAATGAAAAAATATTCCTCTACTGTTTTGTTTTCAAGCTGTGACTGCTCAGATTTCTCAGACGAGGCCTCAACATAAATCTTGTCCCACCACCAAGTATCGATGTTCGGATATTTTAATTACTTCATTAAGAAGAAAATAGGACCGACCTGGAAAAGCTCTCCTTTTCTATTGGGCAAATTATTATATCCCAACTGCCCAACTACCAAAAGAAATCTCCTGGCGAAAAGGGAGTCTGAATTTTTTCTTTGCTTTGTTTTGGCTGTTCATTGCTGTCATTTTATGTTTTTAAAATCGGATTTTGGTTCCAGTTAAGTACTTGTCTATGAAAACTCTCTCTTGCATTTGTGATTTTTTACACCAGGAATTTCAGACTGGCTTCAGAGCTCTTCAGTGTGGAAGAGTGAGATGAGAAAAGTCCAGCTGTGAATTATATTTAAGTTAACGTGTATTTCAAGGTAGTGCCTTTTCTTTACAGACATGTGGTGTCACAAAACATACACAAAAGAAAGCACACCTACTGATGAGGATGCAACAATTTTCACTTGTCTCCCTTCTATTGCAAAATAAAACTAACAGACACTGAAAAATATATGTTGAGTATCTGAATTGGGGGCCTAAAATGGTTTAAAGGGATGTTAAAAGCACATTAAGCTTGTATTGTCATAGGCACAGGGATGAACCTCAGTACTATCAGGTGTCATTGATAGTTTCATTAAGAAAGAAGACAGAAATCCTGGTCCCCTGCTTCAGCCCTTGACCACAGTGTGTTTCTGCCTGAAGCATCTCAGCTGCCACCCTTGAGAGATTCCCACTGGCCCTGGCAAGCTTGCAAAAATATACAAGTGTCTTGCCTTCACCAAACACCCAATTTCTTTTCCCCTTGGTTGTTTATAAACTTGGGAGTCCACAGTGATGTTTTAATTCCATCTACAGTATATAAATCTTGGAGTGCGGTAATTGAGCCTGAGCTGGCTGACAAGTGGCTCTTGTCCTGGCAGTGAAAGCTGGAGCCCCAAGAGTGTGGGGAAGGGCAAGGCGAGCAGGTTTGAGTTCCCGCAGTTGAGGTGACAGACCTCACCCCTGTTCTGATCCAAATGGGATTACCCTGGGTGGTACAGGAGCAGCAGAACTTACACCAACCTCTCATTTTCTGTTCCATTCTCTAATAAATTTCACAGAAACCCACAGCTTGCAGATCAGTTAAAAAAGTACTAATACCTCTCAAAGATCTTTGGCCCCCAAAGCCAAAGATTACCTTCTCCTATATTTTGAAAAGAGAAAATTTCTTGTCTGTGCTTTAAGAGTTTAATTTGAGCCTCCCCTGAAATCCTTGCCAGAATGATTACTAGTACTGCTGGAAGATTCGGTGATGTTTTGTACAGTGCCAAGGCTGTGTATGAGAGAAAGGGGGAAGAAAAGACAATGTTTAATGTTCCAATCCAAACACTAAGCACTACATCTATTTCCCTTTACAAGACATACAACAGCCCGGCATGGTTTCAATTATGACCGTGACGTTAATTGTACTGCTGTGTCTTCTGTACAGTCTTCTATCTAGATTCTTGTGAAAAGAAACAGTGGGAAAGAATGGGATTAAAAGACCATATAAAACAATATGCCTGGAAAGATGGTGAGTCATAGTTCTAAAAAATAAACAAGCAAATATAACAAAGCATTAATTTTCCATAAGCAGAATGGACATCCATAACCAAGGGCAGGTTATTAATACACTGGGCTTTGCTTTGCTTATTTTAATCATGAGAATTCCACGGCTTGAGAACTCAACTCCTGGTAACGGAGCCGAAACCCTATTAACCTGTTCAAATAAGCATTTGCAGGGAGGCTGTTAAAGATATGTCAACAACATGAGCTCAGTTTTTTTCCCCCAGTAATGGAAAGCACACCTCCTGAGGTCCATGTTTTATGTATCTCTAAGAGAACTGGTTCAAATGAAAATAAATATGAGGCGTGAGGAGATACACTCACCGGGATGATCTGTCCACACACTCCTATGGGTTCGTGTCTTGTAAAAGTAAAATAATCTCCATCTGAAAGAAATGAGCAGGATCACGACAAGAGAATTCGGATTAGGAAAAAAAAAAACTGCAGAGGGAGAATTTGGGTGGCAACCACAAAACCAGAAATAAAGTTTGAGAAAACATCCTACTCAACCATATAGGAAAGCTGGTAGAAGAGCTTATCACTTGGCCTGGGGTAGCTCCAGATATGGCTCCTGGACACCCAGGGTACTGATGAGGGAACCTTAAAGGCGAAATGAAAGACAAGTTTATGACACTAGAAACAGTCTTCTGAGGAGGTGGGGGGAGGGGAGAGAAGATGGGAAGAGGGGGGCTGGGAAGTAGAAAACAGTAAGTTCTAAATTTTATGTTAAGTATTAAAATGATACTTAAATGGGGGTGCCTGGGTGGTTCAGATGGTTGAGCGTCTGTCCACCTGTTGGAATCGGCTCAGGTCATGACCTCACAGTTTCATGGATTTGAGCCCTGCATCTGGCTCTGCACTGGCAGCACAGAGCATACTTGGGATTCTCTCTCTCTGCCCCTCCCTTGCTTGTACTGTCTCTCTCTCAAAATAAATAAATAAAACTTTCTAAACAATTAAAAAAAATTAAAATGATACTTAAATGTAAAACAGTTCTTTAAAAGCTGAGGTACCTTAACATTTTAAATAACTTTCTGCACTATTAAAAAAACAAAAACAAAACTAAGTAACACGTTACTGGGTAAGTTTAAAATGGCAGGCAACTAGAAAAGGTGAGTAGTAAAAGTAAGGTCTTTTTTGTAACTCAATCCAGGTGTCAAAACAGATTTTCTGGGCACTGGGGAAGCCAGACATCTTCAGGCATCTTTCAAGAAGTCAAAAGTCCGCTTCAAAGAAGATTCCATCAAAAACCCAAAGACTCTGCCCTCAAATTAGCCATGGAAATGAGGACAATTTAATAACCTTATTTTCCCTATAGGAGCAATAGGCAATTGGAATAATTACCCAGGAAATCCAAACCAAATTTTTCTTTAGAGAAATGCCATTATATTTATCTGAATTATTTTAAATGGTTAATTGAAAAACCAAAGAATGGCTTGCTTTTAGCATATGGCTCTTCAGTGCTGGTACTGGACAATGTCTTTGTTTTTCCCTCACCTGCCAACCCTGTGGCCACTTCCCTCATATTTGTTTTCTGTCTCAAAAGTTGTTCCCAGTAAAGCGAAGACCCTCAGTTACTACTCGTGACGAACACTCCTATTAAGGATGAAGTAGGGACAGGAGTGTGTGGGTTGGGGGAAGAGAAAGAACGTGATGGTTTATCATTGTCTCTCAACACAACTAAGCCACTCATAGTTCTCACACAGAATTGTTTTAGTTAAATACAAAATTATGCATTTAAAAATAATTGAAGGTCTCTCTCCCCTGAACCTCGTTTCCCAGAATCTGCAGCAATCTGTTGCTTCTGGGTCTTTTCACAGAACTTTTTTTCACATACAAGTATATACAGCATCCTTTTATTTCTGCCCCGCCTTTTTAAAAAATATAAATGTGATCATATTACTCACAATCTTCTGAATTTTTTCTCACGTTTTTTCATATATAGCTTACACATCTTTTCAACTGCTGAATGCTATTTCACTGGCACACTGCATAACCGTACTGCTGTGAACTGTCCTGAGGGGCACAGAAATTGCTTTCCCTTTAGGCTAATATAAATAACGCTTTAAACAGGCTCATTGTATATGATCTTTGCATATCTGGAGAACTGCATGATTAAAGTGAATATGCATTTTACATTTTAATAAATACTGCCAAATCACCCTTCAGAAAAGTCACACAATTTTTTAAGAAAATCTTTAAATGCTTATTCTTAGAGAGAGAGAACACACGAGCAGGGGAGGGGCAGAGAAAGAGAGAGACACAGAATCCGAAACAGGCTCCAGGCTCTGAGCTGTCAGCACAGAGCCTGACTTGGGGCTCGAACTCACTAACCACAAGATCATGACCTGAGCCGAAACTGGACGCTTAACTGACTGAGACACCCAGGTGCCCCTAAAAGTCACACAATTTGTAACTCCAACAACATGGTATTTTTCCCTATCCTTGAACATTGTGATTTTTCAAACATTTTAATTTCAGTCAACCTGACAGGTGCAAACTGGCGACCTGTGTTGATCTGTGACGAATGGTAGATATTTGGCTTGAAAAGCTTTTCATGTTTACTGGCCATTTTCAATTTTTTTCCTTCAGATTGATATCTTTTGCCATTTTTCTATTGTGTCATTCAACCTTTTGGTTATTTGAAGGACTCTACATATGTATATTAAGGAAATCAGGTCTCTGTCACATGCATACGTGAAGTTTTTTCCTAATCTGCTGCTTGTCCCTGAATTTTGCTTTACATATCTTGATTCAAATGGAAGAAATTAGGAAATATGCAAGCATTCAACAACTATAGAAATTACTTTAGAACATATCTCCATTAAAACAAAGAATAGCCCAAAGGTGGAAACTGCCATTGGATGACAATAAGTCTGAGTGATATTTTTAAAAATCAAATCAAATATCTTAGCTTTGCATGCAGACAACTCAAGAAGTTTCAGATATCATTCTTTTTTTTTTTTTCATTTTTCAATGTTTATTTATTTTTGAGAGGGAGGGAGGGGCAGAGAGAGAGGAAGACACAGAATCAGAAGCAGGCTCCAGGCTCTGAGCTGTCAGTACAGAGGCCAACATGGGGCTCAAACTCACAAACTGTGAGATAATGACCTGAGCTGAAGTCGAGCCACCCAGGCGCCCCCTCATAGACAACATTCTTTACAAAAGTGCAAGTTACTACCCTTCTTCAACTTAAGATCTCTGAAAAGGTTCTTTTTTTTTTTTTAATATCAATACCTTTTACTGCTTCACTTCTCTGTGTGTATGGAAGATATAAATATGAAGCCAGGCTCTTCCTCCCGGAAGCTTTTTCATGAGGAGCAATAACCCTTATCAAGAGGCTAGAGGGATTCATTCACATGGAAATCCTTCCCAACTGTAATTTGGCCAAGGTGATGGCTTCGGATGGATAATCACAAATGACAGAATCAGTGTCAGGTCAAGAAGGCATGCGAATGGGCTGAGAAGATGGGAACCTGAACTAAAGGACAACACAGGCGTTTCCGGGGGCAGCACATGTGGGAAACTGGAGCGGTTCAGATGGAGCGTGTCCCCCTCTATATTCTAATGACTGGAGAATTTAGTTGTATTCCTTACATAATTTTGAAAGTTACTGAAAAAATGAAAGAAGAGAAAAAAAGTAGGCAAAATCTTACAAAGCTGGCCTCATAAGGAATTGAACTTGACTCTGTAAGTGCGTCCCAGGAGAAACTGAGTTATGGGGAGTGAACACTTCTGGGATGAACTGTCCACAGACTTGACATTTAGCTAAAGGCTGGTACAAAGAATGGACTAGAGAATCTTCTATCCCCACAGCTCCTCTAAGCAGGAAATAAAGAAATAAAGGGTATTTCGGTGCTTGAACTCTTCCTCAAAAAATCCTGAGTGAAAGACATGAAGGGGCCCTGGCCTTGAGCTCAGTCTGTATTCTCATCTGGTTAGTGGAAGATAATTCTGGACACCCCTAGTCTGACCTACGATGCCTGGCAATCGTGAGAGCTATGTCTTCTACGTGGGCCCTTGGCTAGGGCTAGTGGCACCACAGGTCCTTCCAGCACTATGGCCCTGCCCTGAATCCCACCAAGCTTCTACACTGACGTTACCCAAAGGCCAATCACTTGAGAGACACCCTCATAATTTCTGTCGCATCCAAGTATCACTTACTCTATTAAAGGTTTCTTAAATCAGCTTTTAAAAATATGTAAACAGCTACTTGTTAGACTCATCTTAAAAAAAATCTATGACGCAACAGGTTTCGTGAGCTAGCAATATTTACTTCAAACCAAATAATTCAGATAAAAAATGTTCACTACTTTACTGTGTGGAATCACCTTGCATGCTCCAGTGCCAGGTGGTATAGCCCATCGTGCTTCTCAAATTTACATGTGTACATGAAGAACCTGGAGAGCTTGTTAAAATGCAGATTTTGAATCAGTAAGTCTGGGGCAGGACCTGAGAGTCTGAATTTTCACAAGCTCCCAGGTGATTATGGTGCTTCTGATCTACAGCCCAGGCTCCAAGTGTATCATGATGACTTATAGCTGCTTTATAGTTGCTGAGTTCATTTCTATTTACTCGCTGTTTGCTTAGCTCTGGTAACTCTCCTCATTTGCTTGCAAGGAGTTTAAGTGGAGGAGAATCTGATCCATCTTTTTAATATTTAAAAAATACTAAAATAAGAACAAAACACATGTATTTCTATAAAGCTTTACAAACTATTTTCACATTCTTATCTCATTTCGTGCTCAAAACAACTCTATGGGAAAGATAGGGCAACAGTTATTATCTATAGTTTCTAAGTCGAGAAAAAAAATGGCACACAGTGGTAAGGTCTATAGTGATTTAACTGGCTAAACTGTGGCTTCTGGACTTGAATCTGGGTCATCAGACTTGCAGTTCATTGCCCTTAGAAACATTGTAAGACTTTCCTGTGAACAGAGTGTTGGATTTAGACGGGTATCACAAACCACAAAATCAAGAGTATGATGGGATGTCATGGAGTGCAAATGAGGGGGAAAAGACAATGCTTTTGTGAAGAGTGAAGAAGATTCTGTGGGGATTTGGTATGTGGACACAGAGAACTCACATAAACTCCAAGAGGTAAGATCTAAAGGGAACACTGCAGTGCAACACCACGTCCCCTGAGATGGGGCAGCCCAGGACTGAGTGCCTCTCTCCTCTTCATAGAAGCAGAGTCAACTCAAAGGGGTCACAGTGTTACTTCTCTCTGTCTCTCATATTCCTAAGAGGGTACACACCGAGAACTCTTCCCTGCCTAAGAGAAAGGAACGGCCCATTTTCCCACCTTTTATGTTAATAATGTCCTCTAAATCTGGCAAGATGACTTAAAAAGCTGTTCCCTTCACTCCTTTAGCTTTGTGCTATA